GCAGGAGACCCGGTCGTGGGGAGGGCGCTGGCGGGGCTGGTGCAGGAGACCCGGTCGTGGGGCGGGCGCTGGCGGGGCTGGTGCAGTACTGAGTGGACTTGGAGACCAAACCAGGGCTGCAAGCTGGGCTGCACCCCCATCCTTTTTTAATGGTTTATTTTGAGGCAGGGTCTCACTAGGGCACTAAGTGTCCAGGCTCTCTAGAATTTTGATCCTCCTGCCTCAGGCTCCCCGAGCGCTGGCATCCCAGGCGTATGCACCACATACAGCTGGGTGATACGCTTCTGTGAGCTGGGCTTCCAGGAGCCCAACAGATTCTCACATTGAGGGTTGGAGCACCTCCACAGTGCTTCTGGCTGGGGCAGGGTCCTGAGGCCCAGCCCTTCTGGGGAAAGGAAAGCCAGCTCCAGCCACCTGGAGCTCCAGGAACTCACCCTCGCCACTCCAGCCTGAGGCCTGGCAGGGGAGCAGGCTGTGCCCCTCCTCCCCACTCTGACCCAAGGCCTAAGGTCTCTGCCTTCATCCCTCCTACCCAGTTCATCACAGCTGCCTTCCAGCACAGTTTATAAGAGACAGAGCCAGCCTCAATGCCAGAGTCAAAAGTGGCAGGCCTTTGAAGCCCGAGTTCAGTGAACCACTCGTGAGTTGGCTCTGATGGGTGTCTGTAGATCGGCTTCTCTGACCATGGTAGGATGTACTTTTCCCTGGAGTTTGCAGGGCACATTTGCGAAGCAGGGCCACAAGGCCACCTCAGCAAGGGTGCAAGCGTAAAATTCCAAACAACATCTGTACTCAGAAGCAGCAATACGAAGATGGCTGAAAACTAAATTGAATTAGAAATTAGAGATCAATTTAATAGAATTAAATTAGAAATCAACACAAAAACAGCTGGAAAATCCCCAAATATTAGTGATTCAACAACACATGAATATCACACAGATCCCAGATAATGTATGAAATTTTTAAATATTTAAATGAAAATGAAACACAGTGTCTCAAAATCTGTGAGAAGCAGTGAAAGCAGTGATGAGAGGGAAATATATAGTGCCAGTGAACATGTGGAGAAGAAAACTTGAAGGGATCACTTCAACTTCTGCCTGAAGGGACCAGAACAAGGGGAGCACCTTAGATACAGCAGAAAAGGAAGAACGATATGCAATATAACAGCCACTGGCGAAGTCCTACCATCT